GTGTGTGTGTGTGTGTGTGTGAGTCTGTGTGTGTGTGTGAGAGTGTGTGTGTGTGTGTGTGTGTGTGTGAGAGAGAGAGAGAGTCATCAGATCGATGTTGTGAGTGAATCTAAGCTCGTGAACAAACAGTCGCTCAGGAAAGTAAATGACGGAGATCTGAACACACACACGCTTCACACACGCGCTACAACATTAATCACTCTATTCTAGATTTACATCTCACAAAAATACAGAGGCTTAAAAATACAATTCCTTACATTGCTTTAAAATAGTCGAATGAAAGGCATTTTTTTATTCATAAGATGCAAACGGACCCTGGAGGCTATTTATCCCACATACAGGCCTATAACACACTCACACACACACTCACACACACACACACACTGGGCTCTGAATTGATCCATTACTGAAATTGTTCGCACATTGCGTGATTCGGTTCAAATGGCGACTGAACCGACCAAATGTAAACAATTATTTTGTTTTGTTTTTAATATTTATTAAATTTACAATGTTTACAATGAAAGTTATAATAATAACTACTATAATCCTTCTATAATTATTACCTGTATTATAATACATTATTAGCCTACTATATATTAATCTACTACTAACAATAATAATAATTATTAGGCTTATCATAAAAATAATAGGCCTATATATATCATTAGTGATATAATTCATTTTACTGATTTACTGGATTTGTTTTTTTCTTGCATATTCCATATTTAAAGTAAATTACAATAAATATAAAATAAGTGAAAAGGCAACGTTTCTATTGCTTTCATTAGATTGCAGGGACAAAATTAATAATATGCGAATAAGGGCAGGAAACAAAATAAAGTCGTTAAAAGGTTGTTTTTTTTATTGTAATATTATTATTATCAGCCTATCTGACTTTCCCGAATCAAACATTTATTCTCCTCGGGTTTGGGCAAATGTAAAACATTATGATATGATGAACATATATGATTTCTGCTCAAAAACATTTTTCTTTCATTACAATATTTCACGTTCGGCATCGCGCTAATTAAACCGCTTCATTAATGAAAAGCATGTTTCTCTCAGACGGTTCAGCTCGTTTAAAGAAGAAGAAGAAGAAGAAGAAGAAAGAAACAGCATCAATTAGAAATTCATCTGATCTTAATGCGCAGTCACGCGCGAGACCCTCAGAGCAACGCAATCCCTCTCACCATCTATCTATCTATATCTCTATCTATCTATCTATCTATCTCTATCTCTATCTATCTATATCTCTATCTATCTTCACAGTCAGCGATTCTCACACTCTTAAAAATAATGATTCGGTTAGATTCCAAAAAGTGATTCGGAGTCAAATGTCACTTGGGAATCTTTTTAGGATCCACAAGTTTTTTTTTTTTTTTCTCGTTTTGAACAAAACAAAAAATCAATATAGCCTACTGAGGAGGTGTCAGAAATTACGGTTCGTAGTAGCCTGCACTCTTAAAAATAAAGGCTCCAAAAGGTTGTTTTTGCAATAGAAGGACCATTTTTGGTTCCCAAAAGAACCTTTCAGTGAACAGTTCCTAAAAGAGCCATTTTGAAGAACATTTTTTTTACTATAAAGATATTTTCTGCATTTGAAGGGCTCCATGGATGTTTAAGGTTGTTCACCATCGACGCCAATAAAAAAAACCTTCATTTTTAAGAGTGTAAAGGACAGCGTTTGTATTTATAACCATCTAAAACACACGCATTTTCCCCACGCAGGGAAATAATTCAAGTGAATCATCTGGAATCTGAACCATTATTTGCACTGCTTGCTATAAAGTCACGTCAATATAAAATGCGAAATAAAGTATCCTGTAAACAATGAAATAACGCTTGAGTAGCCTAGAATTTGAAATAGAATTGTTCTGTTGATTTGCATTGCGCATCGTTTAAACGCGGCTTTACAGGTGTGTGACACAAAATGTAGGCTATAATAGCCTATAAATCCTTTTTTTTTTTCTTCTTCTTCAGTGAATGCATGATCTGACTGATCGGCAGCCTATATTAAATGCATAAAAATACTAAAATACAAATTTTTAGAAAACAAAGGAATTCACTAGCTATATGGCATCTTTTGAATTTTATTTTTTCCCCTGATAATGACGAACCTTAATACGGCGTTCTGAACCTAAAAACCATCATAAAAATAGGCACTGTAAGGTGTTTTTTTGCGTAACTTTCGCTGTCTTAAAAGAACATTTCTACCCGATTTAGTGCATAACATAGTGCATTTAGGTTGATCCAGTGAAGTTTCGAGCAGTTTATTTTCACGCTCTGTTGTTATTTGTATCATCGCGCGTGACTCAAAAGCACCAGGAGGCCTGTGTAATTAGCGCGAGAGTGTTAATGAAGGCGTCTGACCTTGCGGGAACACCAGGCGCATCTTCAGGTAGCTGCTGGTCAGTCGGATGATGGACGCTTTGTCCAGCTGAGACGTGATGGCCGACGGTAACGGCAACATTCTGGCGAGCTCGTGAAACTCGCTGTTCTCCTTCTCCCGCCGCGTCCTCGCCGCCGTCTTGGACTTCTCCTTCATCGCGCCGTTAATCGAGCTCAACAATAAATCCAGCGAGAGACCCGCGACATCTGACCCGCGCAGGCCGCTGCCGATCAAAACGCATGCAGCAAAACTTTATGAATCTGCGCTTCACCAGCTCTAAAGAATCGAATTGCATTCTGAATTCATTTATCATTAGCCTGCTCAATAATGCATAACGACACGGTACAGTTAAAGGTGTCACTGTGCCCAAACTAACACTTCATATGTCCCACAATTATGTCATAATAATTAAAAATGACAGTATTTTTTTTTTATCATTTCACAACGAAACTCACGAAAACATATTAACATTACAGCTACTCACCACCTTTTGTTCAGGATCAGGAGTTCCACAATATCCGCAGACCGGTCATTCTCTATTCTATTCTATTCTATTCTATTCTATACGTGAGCACATCATCAGGTACTGAAACGGTCTCGTGCTGTCCGGTCTTACCGTCACTCACGCGCTCATTGGTCAGAGAGTCTCGTGGAAACCGGGGCTCAGTGGGAGGATTTGAGCCTCTGAAGGTGCGTGTGTGTGTGTGTGTGTGTGTGTGAGAAAATGCGTATAAATAGTACGCCAAATACAAACAGAAAATCGTGCTATTGTTACGCAGAAATTTACTTTTTGTTGCATGCATATGATACGCACGTGTTGGACGTGCATATGCTACTCAGTTTTCGCGTGCATATGCTACGCATCTACCCCACAACTCTAACCCTACAAATTGCGTGTCATATGCACGCCAAAGTCAGTTTCTGCGTATAAACTCGTGCTATTGATACGCACTTTCATGAGATCGGGTAGAATTTGCGTGGACAACAAATCATCTTATCCTCCTTAATTGTTTGAAACGCGGAAGCTATTTTTTATTTTTTTGAATGTGCGAGACTTCCGATTCATTAGCGGTAGCCTAAAAAACTAGAATAACAAAATACAGTAAATTGTAAAACTATTTGCCCTAGAAACCGATAATAAATTACCATTATATGGTAGCAAATACCAGTTTGCAAGCAGCATAAAGATAGATAGATAGATAGATAGATAGATAGGCCTAACAAAATGTATTTGCCACAATTTTATTTTCTTCTAGCGTCATGAAATTCACAGAGCATCGTGCAGTTTTATTAATTTTTTTTCCCTGATATTGTTCTGATCTGAGAGTGTAGAATAAAACTTGTACAATCGACAATACAATACAAATAATTCATAAAGACAACTGAGAAGAAAGGGTTTCTTAAAATCAGGAGGATTATATAAATGGAGATTGTGGACGCAACACGCTGTTTTTTGTTTTAAAGCTGTAGAAATGAATCCTGAGAGAGAGAGAGAGAGAAACAGAGAGAGAGA